CCCAACACTCTGGGGGGTAGAGGCAGGAAGGTCACAAGTTTGAGCTCAGATGGGCAACTTAGTGACATAGTGAGACCCTGTCTAAATAAAAAATAAAAAGCCTAGGGTTGTAACTCAGTAAAAATGCAATCAGTTCAATCCCTGGTACCACCACTAAAAAAAAAAAAAAAAAAAAAAAAAAAAAAAAAAAAAAGTTGGTAGGAACATATTCCTCTATCTAAACCCTATAAGGATTGTTTATTCTATCCAGAGCAAAAACTCAAAGCTCTTTAAGAATGTCTCCTAACCTCCTGCTCCTACAAAAATCCATCCATAAACTGTGGAAAAAAGACACAGGCAATGAGAACTCAGTCCCAATTTTCTTACCATTTGTATTTGCAGTAAAAGGGCAAAAGAACATGGAAAAACCGTTCCTTGCTGTTACGTCTTGTGTCTAGGTGTCCCCCAAAGCCTCATGTAGTCACAGGTGGGGTTTTTCAGAGGTGGCAAGATCTAGAGATTGTGATGCTCGGATTGATTCATGGTGAGATGCTAGGATTAAGGGTGCCCCACCTTGGGTGTGAGTATAGAATGAATATAAGGGCCAGAAAGAGGGCTGCTTTGGTCACTTGTCTCTTGGTGCTTCCCTGCTTCTTCACTACTTGGCTGCCTGCCGTGACCTCTTTCTCTTCTGCCAGGCCCCTCTGCCACGGCATCCTGCCTTGGAGCCAGCCAATTACAGAGTGAAACCTCTACAAACTGTGAGCCAAAATAAACCTTCCCGCCTTTATCTGTAGGCATTGGGTGTTTTGTCTCAGCAATGAGAAAAGTAACGAAGATGCCTGCTATGGGAACAGTCACTGACCTGGTCACTTACCACACCCTGCCCTAATGTCTTCCTTTGTAAAATTTGGGGCACAAATATCCACGCAAGTAAACGAGCTGGAGCCTCATTAAGAAGCGCCTCTGAGAAGGCACATGTATGGCAGAATGACCTTTGTGAAAAGGTCATCTATTTCTACTGGCTTCACATCTGTATAAAAAAGTGTAATATACACAAGAGTCAATCACAGATTCTATTAGTGGCTTCCCCTAGGGATAATAGTGGCAGGTAAGAGTGTCGAAACTGAGGGCTATCACTGTATCTATAATGCTTTATTTCCCAGAGAAGAAGAATTCTGAAGAAAATGTTTCAAAATACCTATGAACACTGTTAAATCCAATGGACAACTTCATTGTTTTTGCTCATTTTGTATTTGACATGATTTAATCTTGAAAGAGAATTATTTTAAAACTATAATGGAAAAGTCCCCTTATCACCTTCTCAGGTCCCAGCTCAGGCACTGGGGGCTCTACCAAGTGAGAGAGAGCATGCTTTGTAGGTCCCGGTGTGAAATCCAGGGATCATATCAGAGGAGTGGTCAGCAAGAAAATTACAAACATTGACCACTTTGGCACAGAGCTAACAAAACTAGTGAAAGCACTGACAATGGTGCCAGTAAATATCATCACCTTGATTGGATTAAGAGACTTCTGGAGAGGTGACTGGATCATACGGATGCTACATGTACCAGTGGGTTAATTCATTGAGGTTGACAGCTGAAGGTACTGTTAGGAGGGGACCCCAATTGGAGAATGTGGCTTATTCTGGGCCTTTGGAGGGTGTCTCTCTCCCTGGAGCTCGTCCCTGTGCTCTGCTCCCCAGCCACCATGATATAAACAGCTTTGCTCCACCACATCTTCCTGTCATGCACCTCTGCCTTGGAGCCAGAAGACCATGGACTGAAACCTCTGAAACCGTGAGCTAAAATAAACCTTTCCTTCTTTAAATTGTGAGTATCCTGTATTTTGTCCCAGTAATGGTAAAGTTGACCGATGCAATGACTAATTGCCTTCTAAGCACATTGCTGGTCCAGCAGCTTCCTTTTACAGGACTTCCTTTTATTGAGCAATTACTATGGGAGCCAAGTTCTGTGTTAAGAACTTCTAAACACCAAATGCTTAACATATTCCTGTAAGATTTATTCTGGGACTTTGAGAACTTTTTTTAAAAAGATCTATCTATTTATCTATTATTTCCCTTTCTGGTTGCTATTTTACAGTGTCTGTAGAACCCCTCTGCTCAGAACCCCTCCTGGTGTCTCACTGGGGAGGCAGCAGGGTGCCACAGACAGAATGTTGGAGTCAGACACAGTCAATCAGCCCAATGAAGACTCAAAAGAAAAAATCTATAACAAATGTGCAGTGCAGGTCCAATGAGAACTGGGGAGCTTTATTTTTTATGTCCCAGTCAGGGTCCTAGCATCAATAAACCAAATATCAGTTAATATCTGTTCCCCTTCATCCTCCACACTGGACATGGGTTCAGCCTCCACCACCTGGCACCTGTCTTGTTACTAAACATAGCTCTCACCTCTCTCCTCCTTTTCCTTTGACCTGTTTGCTCCACCTCAATAGCTAGCTTCAAACTCCTGGACTCAAGAAATCCTCTTGCCTCAGTCTCCTCAGTGGCTGGGAGGATAGGCACAGGCCACTTTGCCTGGTTATATTCATCACCACTGTCAAACCTTAAAAGAGAAGGTGTCAAAACTGGAACGTGGAATTATCAGCTGCATATTCCTTTGTCTTTCTACTAAACCACAGCGTTTGTTGGGGTGTTTGGTTTTACCCACTGCTGGACATTGAACACAGCTGCCCCCCACGCCCTTAATCACTGAGCTACGCTCTCCGCCCCCCGCACTGTTCTTACACAGGTCAATGTAGCGTTGTAGTATACGTCTGAGTGCCCCTCAAAGTCTCGCGTGGAAGGTGATTGGATCACGGAGGCGCTGTAGTTATCACTGCAGTCATCCATTCATAAACTCAGCAGCTGAAAGCCTCGTTGGAGGTGTGTCCCCCGGGCGCGACCTAGAAAGCTGTATTCTTATCCCCAGCTGCTGTCTTCTCTCTCAGCTTCCGGGATGCCCCGGGTTGCACAGCTTCCCAGCCAGGTGCCTGCACCACGCTGTTGCTGCTCTCGACCTGATAAACAGGACTGAACCGTGAGTCCAGATAAACCTCCCCTCCTCTAAATTGAGGGTGTCGGGTGTTTTGTTCCACCGAGAGGAAAGTCGACCAACACATGCAGCCAAATCAAACATTGTGTTCTATTTGTGCGAGTAATGCCGTCATTTCAAGACACGATGGGGTCCATTATCTCTGACTCGGCAGAAAGCAGGTCTCTGCGCTGGATCCGGAAGCGCGAGTCCCCCGCTGCCCTGCGGGGATGGCCCGGAGCTTGGGCTCTGCTTCGGGACCGGGGCTCCTGGCATAGGCACAAGCGAAACCCACCCTGCTCGGGTGACCTGAGGGGTCCTGGAGAGCCCACCTGCAGCCTCCGTCCTGACCCCCCTGCCCCAGGCATCGAGCCAGGCGCCCTTCTCCCCGAACGCACTTTGCCCGCCAGCCCCACCTGGAGCCTCACCTTGGCCCGGGGACCAAGCGGTCCGCGAAGTCCGAAGCGGCGCGCGCACTCGGGGGCTGGGGCGCGGTGGCCGAGGCAGGACTGCGCGCCCTCCCCAGGGCCGGGCGCGAAATCGCCAGGAAAGGAGCCCTCGGAAGGAAACCCGAGGCCGAGTGTCGTGCCCGGCAGGGGGCTGCCTCGCCTTCCGCACCCGGGGACGCCCGGGAGGAAACCCCAGCGCGGAGAGGAAACTGCTCCCTGGACAGAATCCTCGGATCTCGGTTTTCTCCGCACCGCTTTCCCTTCTTTTCCCCGAGTTCTACCAAAGGGCTCGGAGGTTGAAAGACCCTGTTTAGAGGCACTATGGGGCTAAACCCGCGACCTTAGGACAGGGATCCGGCGGGAACTTTGACGGGGACAGGGCTCCACCCTGTGGCCAGCGCGGAGGTGGCAGCGGCTGCCAGGCAGGACCTCAAAGGCAGCCAGAGGGTCTTGCTCCTTCCCGCCTTGGGGACCCCTTCCCTTTCTCAGGGACTCCTCCTCGACCCGCTCTTCCCACCCCGACGCCAGCCAGCACCACGAGGGGGCCCGAACGCGCACGTATGGACGCCTCGACCCCCGTGCTAAAGCCCTGCCCAGCCCACCCTGTGGATCAGGCGTGTCGTGTCGTCTGAGGGCTTGTCTGTTCTTGGGATGATGCGACCAGAAGAGGACAGCACCCGGCTGTGGAGTTCTTGCCCTCTGGGGGGACAAAGGACGAGGGAGCAACCCTCTTGGCTCGCAAGATGCCTCACTCAATGGGAAGGTGTGTCCCGAGCATAGGTAGAGCGAGGACCGGAGTGTAGGTCACTTCCCAAGGGCTAAGGGCACCAGTGCGTCTTTTCCTACTCCTGTCTCCCTTAGCTGAGCATTTTCTCTACCCCACCCCATCCCACCCCGTACAGAATTTTCCTTCTCATTTCTCCATCTCTCTGGGTGAGCGCCGTCTCCTGGGTCTTATTTCTGTCTGATGGGCTCATCCCTGGCTCCTTTTTCTGTCTGCCTGGGTTCCATTTTCTCTCTTCCCTACTGTCTGGCCTTAGTCATCATCACCATCAAAGCCTACTTAGTACCGTCTGTAAGTAGCTCTACGACTGTTGTAGTTCTTCATATGAATGAACTCAATGCCCCAACAACCCTATGCTATAGATATTAATCTCTCTCCCCGCTTTTCTCTCTAGGAATCAAACCCAAAGCCTCCTGCATGCTAGGAAAACTCTCTACCCCCGATTGACACCCCCAGCCCTCTTCTCCGTTTTTCAGTAATCAACTATATCGAAGACCTTGAGTCTGTCTCTTTCATATGTAACAGCACCTGCTACAGTAATTTCCCTTCTTCATCTTTTATGTTCAGTCTCTTCCTCTTAACCGGCTCCCCTTGGAACAAACGAAGAGAAACTCTCGTAGCCTAAAAGCCTGTCCTGACGCAAGAACTTGAATGGGTTAAGTTCAGCATATTAGTAAGGCGCAGTTCTAGGTGTGTCTGTGGATGATTGACGTGTAGTCCGTCAAAGGGAGAGGGGAAGCCCCGCCCCGGATGTGGGTGGCTGGTAGCATGCAGGAATAGAAAGGGAAAGAAGAAAGTGCCCAGTCCTGTCCATCTCCTTTGGGCTAGGGTCTCCAGTCTCTTCCGCCTTCCAGGATGCTCAACTGCGGTGCTCCCCTGAGCTTCCAGACCTTCGAGCTTGGACTGGCGCTGTATCCTGATCCCTCTTGACCTGCGGCTTCCGTCTGTTTAGGTGGAGCAGCACCTTGACCCTCTGGTTCTTTGGCCGCAAACAGCCCTGCAGGGCTCTCTCACCTTGCACCCTGTGAGTGTGCTTAATAAGTCTCCCTGTGTAAATATCCTTATGTTTTCTATTAATTCTTTCCCTCTAGAGAACCCTAATATGAAGCCCCCTTCTATTGACACAGCTACTAAAGGACACCCCACTTCTAGGCTTTCACCAACTCCTATTACATCCTTTTTTTTTTTTTTTTTAATTTGAGATAGGGTCGCTGTGTAGTTCATGGTGGCCTTGAACTCACCATGGAACCCAGGCTGGCCTTAAACTTACAGGGATCCCCCTGCCTCAGCCTCCTAGTGCTGGAATAACAGGCGTGCAGCACCTCACCCAGGCACATCTTTTTAAAAGAGTAGGTCAGAAACTAGTCTATGCTGTTAGAAGTCAAGAAAGCAATTTTTCACTAGGCTATATATACTTATATGCACGCACGCACACACACATATGCACACACACACACTAAACAGTAAAAAGCCAAAGGAGAGAGAGTAGCTTCACTCATCGCTCCTCCTCTACTTCCTCTCCTCCCACGTCCTCTCCTTTCTGGCAGTCAGGTGTTTGTGTCCACCCCGGAAGTCACCAGAACTGATGGCCCCTGCCTAATCTCAGCTTTCTTGCTGGCTATGTCACCATGCTGTCCTGACATTCTCTCCTGTCTCTGGTGCCTGTGAGTGCCCCTCATGGTACCCTCAGTTTGTGACCATTATGCCTACCCAGACTGCCTTTCTTCTTGGTCCCTGCCTGCTGATACCCTGTCTTCTTGTCACCATTCTACTCAGTCATGTGCTCCCCAGAGTTCCTTCTACCCCCTCAGTGCATACACAAAGCTTTGAGGGCGACAGGTCTGGTGGACCAGCTGCTCTTTGAATTGCTGGGCCCATGGGCACCTGGAGTGGTTATTGATAATATTAACCTTTGCCATTTGGGTTTAGAGAAATACATTCACTGAGGATTTACTTCTGCTACTTAGGGTTGTGCGGTGGGAATTTGTTATCACCTGGCCATCTAGCAATTTGTCTGTTTCTGGAAATAGAAAATATTAATAGATCTATGACCGTTATTTCCAAGCTCCAAATCCCAGGGTAATGTCACTCTTCTGAAAGCTTGTGCCTGGGCACTGACACATTATAACTAATATGTACAGTGCTCCCTCTCCTTCCTCCACTTACAGTGCCATTGTTTGGAAATCCTGCTGGCTCATCCAGAAGCTCTCTGACTTTAGAGAGAAAACTTTTGCCTTTAAGAGTTTGCCTTACTTGGGCATAGTGGCTCGAGCTTGAAATCCCAGCTTCTCAGGAGGCTGAAACAGGAGGATCAGAAGTTGGAGGCCACTCTGGAGAACTTAGCAAGATCCTGTTTCCAAACAAAATTTTAAAAGGCTGGGGATGTAGCTCAGTGGTAGAGCTCTTGCCTTGTATGCATGGGTCCTGGGTTCAATCCCCAATATCAGAAGAGGGGAAGGAGAGAGAGAGGAAGGGATAGAGGGAGGGAAAGGGCCAATCCCTCCCCTTCTTCCACTTTCTGCAGGCCCAGTGGATTTAGCTCTGAGGAGACCGGACAGCTCTACCCTCTGTCCTGAGGCAAGTGATGAAAGTCTTGAGCCCTCACACTGACGTGTTAGACTAGGCAACCCTTCTGTAGAGGCTGAGTTGTATGTTACCTCCCCCTCACTTGTTTTCCCACCCACAGTTTGAGCACATCGGATTCAGAGGCATGACGGTTCTGACAGTTAGAAATTTCCTCTTTTGGCAGAAGATTGAAAGCAGTGAAAGTTAAATCTAGGTGGCTGGGATTGGGACAGCCAAGTCTGGTTATCTAGGCTGGGCACAGTCCAAGTGCTCCTCATCTAAGAGGACACAATTCGCCTCTATCATTCCGAGAGTTTTTGTGCATTGATTATTTTGCTTATGGAAAAGATGGAATATTTATCACTTGCACTATTTTTTATAACTTCCCAGCAGATGGCAATAAAGTTTCTTGTTTCAAGAGGTTTAATGTATTTTGTTCTGCTTCCATTCACAAAGGAAAACCGAGTGGATAATCAGCACCAACAACAGATGGGACATCATCTAAAAATGAATTTTACTTCTACACAGGAAATCACTTCCCTACTTCATATGCTAATAGGTAAGCAGATATATATTTCAAAAATTTAAAAAACCCCTGTTGTTAACAGTGCACTAATTTACCATTTCATGCTAAATGTATCACATTTCATACCATCTGTTATTTGTCTGCGGTACCCAGAATGTACTGCCGAATTCCCAACTGAAATCTATTGAACTTTCATTATTACCTGAATCGCCATCAAGTTATGCATGCTGTCATCCTCCACAAGGTAAATTGTGTGACCATAAATTAGAGATTACCACTTAATGATCTGGTAATTACGTAGTAAGAATTGCCCATTATTCTAGTAAAAAATTAACACTTGATGTTAATGTTTGATAATACTTACTAGTTTATTAATTGTATATTTCACATGTTACATGTGTGGAAGTTCTCACATAAAGTAATAACTATTGGCTTTTTGTTTACATCCTCATATTGGGTTAATTTTATCCCCTAGTTATTGCAGACTGATCAGGCCCACAGTCTCCCAAATGAGTGGACAGGCGAAGGCTTAAATAAAAGAGTCAACTGGTTTGATTTTACGGTTCCAGGAGGTTCCAAATCCTCTAACAGAATTCGAGATTCTCTGGGGGCTAAGACCTTGAACTTTTCTGGGTAGGCTGTATTTCTTTAGTTATGAGAACAAGGGAGGGGGAATACTGAAGTAAGGGGGGACTCTGCCTAGAATGGTAAGGCTGTTCAAGGACCTTGGAAGTCAGCTCAAGGGCTTCTCCAAGTAAGACATTATGTTAATTTAGGAGAACTTTGTTATCTCCAGGAAGGCCTCCACCCAGAAGTGAGATGCCTGCAGCTACAGTCTATCTAGTTAATTGAGGTTGAAGCCAGGTGTCCCTAGCTGTGGCCTTGTCTTGTCCTTTGAGGCCTCATGGCTTCACCTACCATTACAGGCCTCAGTAGAGACGAGTGACTCACAAGTAAACACGGAAAGCCTATTGATTAATTTAAATCCTGCTCAGAGCTGCTTTGTAGTGGTCTCCATCATTCTCAGGAGTTTTTAAAATGAATTTCAAGTGCTGGGGATATAGCTTAGTGGCACAGCACCTGCCTGGCAAGTGCAAGGTCCTGAGTTTGATTGCCACTACAAAAAAAAAAATTCTAAAATGAATTTCAAAATCAGAAAAGAGGGAGGGAAATGAAAGAAAATCACTAGACCGCTACATGCACTTTTGGAGAAAATAGATGAAATGAGGACAATAATGCTAGATTAGGATAGAAATATTTTTCTATTTTAAAGATTGAAAAAAACTAACAAAACAACAACAATGAAGACAAAATCAAAACAACACAAAACAACAAAAATGATACATGGCCTCAAAACAAAATGATAGGAATTAATAATGGTTTCTATATTACGTACTGTCATCTTCAACGAAGCTGCCCAGTCCACCAGATGCAAGAAGGTAAGAGCGATAAAACTATCAAAGACAGTAACAAGTCATTAAAAAAAAAAATCATTGGAAACGATGCAGAGCTTCACCATACAAGACGGTAGGAGTTCAAAATGGTTCTTACACTGCATAGTGTTGCATAGTGTTGTTTTCAGATCATTCTTTCTTTCTTTCTTTCTTTCTTTTTTTTTTTTTTTTTTGGTCTTTTTTGAGACAGTATCTTCATATGTAGTTCAGGTTGGCTTTCAGTTCATTTTGTTGACCAGGCTGGTCTCGAACTCACAACGATCATCCTGCCTCAGCCTCCTGGAGTGCTGGGATTATAGGTGTGCACCACCACACCCAGATCAGATCAGTCATTCTGATTATCAGATACAAGCATGCAAAATTGGTCAAGAAAAAAAAATTTTAAGCATTGACTGTTAGGATGTAAATTCACTGTCAGTGTTTATGCCAAGTGTAACTTGAGAAGAAGTGCAAGAGAAAAAGAACAGTGATGAATTATTCTCCCCATCCAGGTTCCTGGCAGTGTGATTTACTACTATACAATGAGACATACTCCCAAAGCTGCTGTACAGATTCAATGCAATTCCCATTCAACTACCATCAACATACCTCACA